GGGCCAAGCTTTTTTCCCCCCCCCCCCCCCCCCCCCCCGTTCTCTAACTTCCTCGTCCGACTACCCACCTGATTTTGCTGTTGCTGCGTAAAATATTTTGATCTTCCAGATATCTACGAAGGATGGCCAAGACGTCGCCAAGGAGTTCGGCGTCCGCTTTTTCGAGGTGTGTACGTCTGTGCTCGCGCTCGCTCGCGGGTCATTGCAAATTGCTGCCGGTTGATCGACAACGGCGGATGGAGACGGGCGTACGTTTGAGGCTGCGAGGGGGTTGATGAATCATGTGATGGGTACCAAAGCTGTCGTGCCGATAGGGATGTCGTGGACGTGGGGGTCCAGCAACTTGCTTGTGGGGGGGGTGGGGCTTTCTCGCGCCGACCGACGCGTACAGCGCAGCCTTTTAGTCTGCTCGCCTACGTGAAACCCATCTCGTGCTCCCGGTGTGCAGCGCCTGTTCAACGGATTTTGCCCCGGCCTTCTGTCTTGTCACCTTTTCAAGAATCTACCGTACGCTGCCGTTTGTTGATGTTACACCCCCGCGTACCCATCTTTTTTTGCCGTCCTCCATGTTTTGCTTTGTTTTTGTTTCCTGCGTGTTGTCAATTCTGTGGTTTTGATGGTGGTAACCGGGTGATGTGTTCTTAAGTTTGGCGCGCCTTTCCTTTGTCAAACATCGAACGATCAACAAACTTGTGTGCTCGCGCGTGCGAAAATGCGTTGGTTTGCGCGCGGGGGGCATCAGGTGAGCGCGAAGAACGGGTACGGTGTGTCGGACGCGTTCTACAGCCTTGCGGTGGACATCGTGGCCGCCAACAAGAGGGGGGCAGACGATCGGCGAGGGGCCAGGTGAGAGACGCCAAAACGGAAACGCCGCCGCCGCCGCCGGGGTTACCGTCGGTGACATGACGTAAGATATCACGCCCCCTGGATCGATCTTCCCACACAACTCCATTGCTCAACCGACGAGGAGGATTTACAACAACCCAAACGTTTTTATTTTTTTGGGAAAGCTCTCGACGAGACGGTTCCGACGCCGCTATTTTCGGCACCGCCGCTCTTTGTACTGGGGAGGAATCGAGCTTTGAATAATCAGTTCAGGGGGGGTGGTATCTTGCGTCCCGCACGGTGGTGCACTTGTTGGGGGGCAACCGGCGTTTTCGACGGCGCTTCCCGCTTTGCCTTTGTTGGTGTTGGTGGATGTGTTGCTGCGTTCGGCCGTGGTGTTTGTAGCAGGAGTTTTGTTTATGTCAAAAACGGCGCTGGTGCTTGCTCTGCTGCTGGCCGTACGGCTCATCACCCCGGATCCATGTCTCGATCGGCCCAACAACTCGCGTCTGCTGTAGTTGGGTCGGAGGACTCGCGGGCGCGCGACGGAAAGCCACCGCGTTTGTCGAATCGTGTTTCAGGTTGGCACCCAAAGATGCCGTGGTGGATGTAGTTGTCGCCCCCCCCCCCCCTCTCAACACGGGTACGTTGATCATCGCGAAACAGTGCTCAATACGTGTCACCACCAGGAGACTTGCCAAGAGTTTTTTGCGGGGGGACACGCAGAAAGAACATGGCTATTGACCCCCCGCACATGCATGCATGTTCATCGCTCACAGCAGTAGTGGCCGTGCTGATCCCTGTTGGTCCGGCGTCGTGAGGACGGGGTGCGCGGCCGGGTAGATACAAATACTTGCAGGTTCATACGAGCCGAACACACCGACACGAAGGTACAGTACCGCGCTCAACACGCACACGACCAGACTGACCTTGGTGTTTTTGTCTCATTGGTTAGCGCGATCGAATTAATTCAACACACGCGCACACGCTTTCGTTGGCACACGCTTTCGTTGGCGTGTCCTCAATCAAGCATGGGGTTGATCGCTTGGTTGTGTGTGTCGATGGCCCGCTCTCACTTCCCACGACCCTCTTACCCGCTCTTGTTTTTTTTTTTTTTCTCATTTGGTCTGTTCGTGCGTCGTCATCGAAATCCCTCCCTCCGAAGCAGATTATTCAGCGGGGGAGCCGCACGCTTGAGATCGTCCTTCGCCTCGAAGAAGACGTCGTTCTTGACGGGCAGAAAGCTCGGGGGCGTTAGCTGGCCCGGAGGAACGGCGACCTCCGGCGGCGGCGGCGGCGGCAGCGTTGGCGCCGGGGAGGGAGGGGAGGGGAGAGATAACGGGATGCGTACGCCCCCCCCCCAGGAACGCGGTGGCAAGGCGCCCGCTGGGGAAGAGGACAGCGATGGAGGGGGGGCGTTAAAGTCGGCGAGCGAGAGGTGCAAGGTTTTTTGACAGCTGGGGGGGGCGGCACCGGGTTGTACTGTAGTGTTGAGTGTATGTCGGGTAGGGGTTCTGGAGCGATAGAAGATGGGGCACTTGTGTCGGGCCGGCTCCCCCCCCCCCCCCCCGATGTCCCGTGCCCCACCCGCGATGGGTGTGTCGGCTGGAGCTTTTTTTTTTGCTCTCATGTTTCGTCGACGTGTAACCACTTAGAGTGAGTTGGTTGCTGTGTTTTTCCTCTCCTCGTCTGCATTCGCTCACGAGCGAGTTTTGTTGCTGCTGTGCATGTTGTGTTGTTGCTGTATTGAAAATAAGTCTAATATAGTTGTGCACGGAGAGAGAGGAGGGTGGTCAAGACGACCGGTCCGGTGTTGTGATTGGACGTGACTTGATGTTTTTTCGTCGTGTGAGGGTATCGGACTGTTTCATCGGGCGGCGTTTGTTGTCAGTGTTTCTAACCATGGGTTTATCTCCCTGAGAAAGGAGAGACCGGCAGATTTAATCGGATTGGTGGAGGGCAGGGCTATTGGGACAGACAGACATGGGTTTCATGTTTCGGGTGTAAATCTTCTCCCGCTATGATGCACCATGGTGCTTTACTTACGTTGCGCGAAGGTGGGAGAATTTCCGTATCGAATCAAGAAAACCGCCTTTCAGCCCGTCGGACCGCAGGTTACCGTCATAGAGAGTGCGCAACGCGTGGGCAAGCGGCACACCAAAGGTTTTTGCTTGGACTCCGGGACATTTTTGTCCGTGCACTTCAGCATGCGCGCGAATGTGAAGTGGTGTCGTTCGTCTGTTGTGGCGAACAAAACAAAACAAAACAGCTAAATACAACAAGAAAAGACGAGAATAAGAGTCGATAGAGTTTTTTTTGTCTTTTGTCTATCTTGCTGTTGGTCGGTTTCGAGTGTCGGCAAGTTTCTTCTTTTTTTTTTTTCCTTGGGGCTGCTTGCTGCACTGCAGGCTCAGAGCGAACCGATCCCCCCCCCCCCCCCCGAAGGGGCAGGAAAGAAGAGGGGGGCGTTGGTGTCGTCAAGACGACCGGCCCCATTGCAGAACAATTAGCGCGCTTATGGT